CTCTGATTGTATGCATATGGTGGTGTCTTCTTTATACTATAGTTTAGTTTAGTTTTCCTTAAATTACAGGCTAACTGACAGCTACATGTTTACCATACCAACATGAAAGTGATTTTAATCTTCTCATCTACCTCCTGACTGGAAAGTGAATATGCATATTTCAAATTACATGTCAAACTATTCCTTAAGTATAGATACACTTCAGCCCGAACAGTACAAACTGTACACTTCTATCTCTCTATCTCTACACTTCTGTTGGGTGGTATGTGGTTATGTCCACATACTCTGTGAATTGTGTCTTGCACAACCGGCAGAGATTTGAACTTTAATAGACTGGCTAATCTTGGCAAGCTTAAAGCAGTCTTTAAGTGAATCAATTAGAAATTGGCAATGCTTTGATTTGGTTCAGCATTTTGAGAGAGTGCCACCACTCCCCCTGACTTTCTATGTTCAGCACTTCTTTTCTTGTGCTGTTTTTCTTCCTGTCAGTGTTATTTTCTCATCTAAAATTCTTCCAATATATTTTGGAATATACAAATCCTGTCGCCTTGGCCAGGTCTCCCTTGCATAAAGTAAATCTTTATCTCACAGCAACTAACCCAGAACATTAATCCAGCCTTGTGCTCACCGTCACCTCGCCGGTGGGCTACCACTGCCGTGCCACTTTGGGCCACTGGCCGACTGGGCTGCGGGAACACCTCGCAAATGCTGCCTCAGATCGCCCCGCAGCACTGGCTGAGCTCCAGCTGACAGGCTTCGGCCTAGTGCTCTAATGACTTACAGATTGGAGCGCTGTGGTATACATGTGTCAGGACAATGCCACGGGCCTACTGCAAAAACAGTAGGAGAGGGAGAGAAAGAGAGCCGGCGGCTTCTCCCCGTCCTGTCAGACAGAGGCTTGGCCCCTGGATTGTGTCACATCACGCTTCCCCCCAACAGACCGCAAATGAAGGATGTGAAGAGCAAACGTGGGGAGGAGGGGCGATGGAGGGGGAGCTCTACAACTTAAAAGGCTTTCATCCTGTAAACTGAAAAGACATTATCTTTTGACCTGGAGATGCCCTCTATGAGGCTGTACACTATGGTGTGAAAACACAGGGAGAGAGCAGGGGAAAAAGAAAAGAAGAAGAAATGAAAAAGGAAAGGAGAAGTAAGAAGTGTGGATTGTGGCTTCAACTGGTAATAGTATAGATAAGAAAATTGTCTGCTGGCATGGTTTTGAAACATTATCAGTAGTTTCTCTGTGTCTGAAGAATAACAAGTGATGCACCTTTGACATCATGAAAATGTTCAATGCAAAATTTATCAGAAAATTCTGAATAGTGTTTCTGATTTAAAAACAAAAAGGCCATAACGTAACTACAATAAATATGAAACAAACAATGAAAGCCAAGGGCTAGAGATGTTCGCTGAGCTTCAAATTCTTTAAGATGAAACAAGAAAGCTCTCAACAGTCAGTAATGTCACGTTATCATTTTTCTTTATTCTTCTCTATAAGAACCTCTGCTCTTAATCGCAAGTAAAAACTGCCTTAAACTGAAGCTGCATGTGTTAAGCATATCTTTACTTTCCTACATTATCCACCTGCCTCTCCTCAAACTGACTATTCATGTATTCTCATTACACTCAGACGCAGACGTACTACAGGCAGAAACCAGTCAATGTCATTCAAGCAGCGTCCACACAGGGAACTTCAGCTGGCTGCTGGCCATTCCTCACACTGTACCAGTGACATGAATAATGAAGGCCATTCTCAGGCACATTCCTAGATGGGGAAACAAGCATAATCTGGGCATTACACTGATAGCAAAGACACCATGTTGACACAACATCTTCGGCCCAGCTGAATGCCACATAATCCCCTGTAGGAGGTGGATGCCTACCTAGGATCTCTTGCAATGAGGTGTAGTTAACCAGCCTGGCTCGTGAGCAACGCCACAAACGAGCTTCAATTTCCCCCCTCCTCCCACCTTGGTGCTGGTGGACTATCAGCGAGGGTCCGACAGTGTTGTTCCTAATTACCTATTTCTCCACTCCTGATCCTGCGGCTGGCATAATTAGTTACCTGGGGCTGCAATCCAATTTGAAGTGATGACAAGAAAGTGATCCATGAAAAAGTAATAAGTTAAATCCAATTTCAGCCTGCCTCTAATTAAATGCACATGGAACTAATGAGTCAAACCCTACCATTTCACTGATAATGGTAATTAGCGGGGTGGGAGTTGCCGGCTCTCGTTGTCGTGCCACTGTAGGTGTGAAGCGCAAAAGGTAAAAGCTGCATGAATTCTTTTAATCACACGTGTCACTCTGTCAATGTAATTTACTGGCTTTTTGACCAGTCAAGTATGTTTAGCTGCTTTCCTGCCTGCGTAGCAGCTGTTTGTATATCTCATTTGATTAAAGCGCCTCTAGGCTGCCGAGTATACAGCGGAGGCATCTTCATCCAGAGGCAGGGGTGGGCGGTGTAGGGGTGAGGGTGTGTGTGTGTGGGGGGGCACCCCTGTTGGAGCTATAAAACCAAAGAGCCATTTAATGCTGATCAAGGATTCTGAGGCTTGTTTGACTCATATCCCCCCCCCCTTACTACTCTATGCAGGTCATTTTTTTTTCTCAGATATTCTGTATATATTGTGCTTCATTATTTTTGACTTGAGTAAGAATGAATTGGAAAGTGAGTCACATCTCCAAATGAGTAAAAGTCTCTCTGCACATCTCCTTTTGCCTAATGGGAAGACCGCTGAGATGAATGGAGCCGCGTCCGCAGATCAGGTGCTTTTATGGGGTGTCAGCTTACTACACAGCCCAATAATTGTTGGATCATGTCTTTTGATGACCCAGTCCAGCTCAACAGAGAATCATTATCCAGGCCGTGTGATGGAGATAGTGAATGTTGTGTGTGAAGGGGGCTCCTCTGAGCACGGGTTTGTTCTTAAAAGAGGAAGTGAGATGAGACTCAGACCGTTACCCTCTGGTGTTTCACAAAATGTGTTTGAGTGAGAGAGAGAGAGAGAGAGAGAGAGAGAGAGAGAGAGAGAGAGAGAGAGAGACACAATGTGAGAAAAAACAAGAGAAATCTCACCACCAGAAAACCATGAGAAGAAGAAAAACAAATGTAATACATCCTCACACAGAACGGCACACTGATGTTTATCTGATGTTTATGTATGAATGCTTGGCTTTAAGCTGTGTGTGTGTGTGTGTGTGTGTGTGTGTGTGTGTGTGTGGGGGGGGGGGTGTTTAATTAGCAGAATATGTAATTCAGAGATAAACAAACACTTGTCTGGACCTGTGGCTTTTTCATAATGGCAGTTTCAACCCTGCAAAATGTAACATACAACATTAGAGAGCAGGCAATTTACAGTGTTAGTTAGATACTACAGCAAGCCTGCGCTCTCTTCACAAGAACCGGGCAGGAGAGGGGAGGGGAGGGGGAAGCAGGGGGGAAAGGGCCCGACTCTCTTTTCAATAGCTGAGTGACAGCTTGGCCAAGCTCTCTGTATACATTAATAAATTAGAATTTTAATTTTGTCTTTGTCTGCAGGAGATGGTCTAGTACTTCACTATGTACCAACAACTGGCTGTACGCTGGAATCTGCCGTTGTGGTCCCCTCTGTTGACCTCTGCAGCACAATTCCCTGCCAGGCTGGGGAAACTGTTTAGTTTGATCCTTTCAACTTATTTGAATCCTGACAAATATGCACACAACTGAAAGGTCATCACAGTCATATTTCATCCGCTGGAGCTATTCCGAAGACATCTGCACAACAAAGAGGCTTTTTCTCAACCTGACATTAGACCTAGCTGCTACAATAGCTCATTAAAAAGGGCCCCCAATGGGATAGTAAGGGTATTAAATATTATATATATACACACATAGAGAACAGGGCCTCCGTATTAATTACCAAATATGCCCTGAAGTCGTTTGCAATTTCACACTGACACAAACAACCGCTCCTTGTTCAAACAAAGATATACATCTCTGAGGCAGCTGATCTGAAATTAACGTAAATATTGCATCAGATATGCAGCGTTGTTCATATTAAAAGCAGAACAAGATGAAAAATAAAAAAGATGTTTTTTTCATTTGCACCACAAAGGCTGTCCAAATAACTGTCCCACCGCCTCTTTACCTCTCCCCACCCTCACACTTTCCCACCCCTCGCTTTTTTCCCCCACCTGCATCATCCACCCCTGCTTGTGGGCTGCTCTATAGCACCTCCTGCTGCTGGTGGTAGGGACCTGCCTCCTCTTTCATTTCTGCTGTGTGTGTGGGTGTGTGTGTGTGTGTGTGTGTGTGTGTGTGTGTGGAACAGTGATGAAAAGAGGGAAAGCATGGAGTTTCCTCTGCCTGACCCGACTCACTTCTCTGTGGGAGGAATGAAGCTCCTCTCATTTCCCCCTTTTCTTCTACCTCATTTCCACACTTTTCCAGATTTTACCCAAGGCCACGCACCTCCTGAACTAAGTGCAGTCGATAGAAAAAGGCCTTTCTACTACAGAGGTCAGGATCAGCCACACATGCCGACATGTGCTGCTGCCCTGGAATCATTCTGGCGCTACTGGGTGAGCTCATGTGATCTAAACTGGCCACACAGAGGCTTTTCTAACATTCTGGCTTATATATGTTCTCAACAGTGCCCAATTCTACACACTGCTGCTTCTAATATTCTATGTCAAGACACATGGTTTATTGTGTGTGTGTGTGTGTGTGTGTGTGTGTGTGTGTGTGTGTGTGTGTGTGTGTGTGTGTGTGTGTGTGCTGCTAAATGACACATAATGCGTGAGCACACATAACTGCAAATGTTGCACTGCCAATATTAATTTCCTGTTTGTGAACTTAGTCTAGCGCTGTTTCTCGCACACTATGTTCTAGAGAGAGTTGCATAAGTTCACTTCTTTTTTTTTATTGGAACAACCGCAAAGTCAAATAACTGAGCCATCAGATAATCATGAGTTAATAAATAAGAAAGAGTCTGAGAATGACAACATATTCACGGTACCTGTAGGCTTTGCTGCTTGTCGTTGGCTTTGGGGGATTTGCGTCCGGTGTTATGTTGAGACTGCAGTTGCTGCGACTGGGGCTGCTGTTGTTGATGCTGCTGCTGGAGGAGTATCTGCCGAGCCACTTGGAGAGCCTAATAGAGAGAAATACGTATAAAGATTAAAAAAAAATTGAAATGCTAGAAGTAGATATGTTAAAAGCCTCTTGAGAACCCTTTGATGCCTATTATCGGAGCAGCTGTATCCCCTTACAATAATATTCCCTTGGCCTTCTGATAGATAACAAACAAACACTACAGACCATCTTTTCATACTCTCCAATTCAGAGTCATAAATCTAAGGCTGGCATAAACAAGCCTTCCACAAACACACAGGGAACAATGATCAGATGTCAAAACATATTCACAGACAGGGAGAAGAGCAAAAAAAAATAAAAAAATCAACTGCAGCCATCCAGAAGAAATATTTATCTGTTGATAAGTTTACAGCAAACACAAATTGTCACAAAGACACTAATCAGTGCTTTTGATCCTCCTTTAGCTCAGTCAAACTCCCCAAATAAAAGGCTTTATGGCTGCCTCAAATATCTGTTAAAGGACACGGCCTTCTCAGTGGAAAACAAAATACAGTGCAGTCACATGTTTATTGCTCCAGCTACTCCCTTTTCCCTTACGATAAATAATCAAACATGCCATCCAGAGCAAACAAAGCTGGAGAGAGCTGGGGGAAAAAAACACAGTGGTCTTGAAAACGGTCAGTGATACCAAGAAAAGCAAGCGTTGTGTTCCCACAGTGAGCTGGCCAGCCTCACACCTCCACCAGTAAACCATCTGGGTAAATAACTGGGCTCATTCTTTCCATGTTCCTCAGACGATTGCTCCCACAATTAAACAAACAGTCGGGGCCACATCCAAGCTCATCTCACAGACGGACAATCTATAAGTCCTCCAGTCGATTATTTTAGAAGTTCAGAAATTGTGCAAGTAAATGGTGGGATGTTTAACAAGAAGATAGTGAGAGAGAGCAAGAAAAAGGAAAAAAGTTAGAGCGACGTGTGAACGAGTGAGTGAAACCTGTGAAAAGACTGTGTGAAAGTAAGATATCTGCAGGGAAAGGGCAAATAGAAAGCTCTGTGGACGGATGAAAGGATAGAGAGAACTATAAGAACTGGTCTTAATGCCAGTAAAGTCTGACAATACTTTAAGACAGAAAGGGTAGAGACAGTTAGGGGGTTGGAGCAAACAGCTGTGTGATGGTCTGCATGTGGGTGTATGTGTTGACCTTCCCAAACACACGGCTGTCGGATGACATCATGAGGCATAAATATGACCGCAGGCTACAAAGAGGCCACACTCCTGGCATCTCACCAAGCTTAACTTTAAAGTACATAAATTCTCCTTCTCTCTGTCCGTCTCTGTCTTTCTCCGAGCTCTCGTGAAAAGATAAATGACGGTAGAGCAACATATCTCATTCTGCATGCCTAATTGTCCTCTGCTTTGAAATTTCTGGAGGGGGAACCCCCCGCAAGCAAGTGTACTCATAAAGAAAGTGTATAAATTGAAACTAAGAACTACGTGAGCAAGATTGACTCCCACACTCCGCATAGCAATATTTACATTTTAAGCTTTTAGCTTTTTCTCCAGAGAAACTTATAATCTGAAAAAATCGGAAACAAAAACACGACGTGAACTGAGGTGACAAAAGTGAGGGGATCGGAAAAATACTAACACGAGGAAATATTGTCTCGCAGTCGTACGGAGTGTGGTGATATTCTTTCATCACATTATAAAGCCGTTTAATTGTTAAAGACAGACCAATATTTTAAAATGGTAAAAACTGTTAATAAAAGTCCTTGACATCTGAAAAGGCCTTTTGTTTCAATAAATTATTTGAAAGAGTAGTTTTTTAAATTTTTATTATTGGAGAAAAAAAATCACCTTGATTTCCACTCACAAAAAAATAATATATTTAAAAACAAGATATTTCAGTATGAAGCCAAATATCAAAGTTGTCAGTTATCAGCTTTTACAACAATATCATGTTGTATATAATCATTTATTGTATATAACAGTAATATAATTTGAGTGATGTTGAATGATTATTTTGTATTAGAAGCTCTGGTCAAGTTGTTAACTATCATACCATCATAAATTTTAAATGACTAAGACAGTGAAACACCGATAATTCATAAGGAAATTCAAAAAAAAAAAAAAAAGCTGTAACGAAATCATTCACAACGCCCCGAGGCGTGGTATTACGGGCACATCGAAGAGTAAACAAAGTTTGCTGTTTTCTTTTCCGCTGTAACTGATGACACATGCAGTGAAATGTGTGTGTGTGTCTGGGTTTACAACCGAGGGTGTTGGAACAAAGAGAGTTGAGTCAACAGTAATGGATCAAGAGATACATTTCTGGGAAGTCTTCATTCACTGTCATGTTCATATAAAAAAAAGAAGAAGAAGCAGATTGCAAACTGCTAAATGATCAGTTAACACGCATAGATAAAGAAATTGTGATCCTGTGATAATAATGTGTTAGGAGGGCTGTACATTAATACTTGCTATTATGACTGTGTTGGAATATTAACACACGTTAACCAATGTGAGTATTAATCATGCAATACAAACAGTTAAGTCTGACAGCTACAAATTCAAATACATTTTTCTTTACCAGTATTTTCTTTGTATACATCTTTTGGCAACTGGACAGCTGCGTAGAATAGTTATGACCGAATTAAAGTAATGCCTGATGTGTTCAGCTTAAAGTGGAGGAGCCACCTGACAATTTAAACAATGATGGCATTTTGTTACATTGCATGGAAATGGAAAATGAGCCTCCTAATATTCAGCTTCAACAAATTATACTTCCAATTAAAGCAAGGGCAATAATTATGCAATCATGCACTTGGAAACATAGTCAGTGATCATCTTGACACAGGCAAATTAACTGTAATCACATTGCTGCCTGACAGCACATGGCTGGACTCAAACATACAAGACGAGTAAACGCTGTTGTTTGGTATAGAAAATAATGAGAGAAAAAAGGCGAGCGGGCTGAGAACCTACGATGTGAGCTCTGCTCCATGTTTAGGAATGTTGCCGTCATGTTTGTATTTTAAAAAGGCCACTGGAGCTGGCATGCCTTTGAGAGGCCTAAAGCTGGGCTAAAATATCCTATTGTGAACTGTCACTGCGATGTTTACACAGCAACCACTCCTCTATTTCAGAGCTCTCCCTCTCCTCCTCCTCCTCCTCCTCCTCCTCTGGAATTTATCTTCTTTTGATCTTCCATTCAGAGGTACTGGACGCTTGATAGACATGCAAGCGTAAAAGCTGCTCCGGGCAAATGTGATAAACTGGAAACTGTTGACAGGCACAAGGCATCTGAAGCACAGAGAAATGAGAGAAACAACAGCTCTCTAGGTGCTATAATAAAACTAAAAACTAAAAATGATGCAACTGGACAGAATCATACTTTTATATTGTATATTTCTATACTGTATACTTTTGTGTCAAATTTAAAAATGACAAAAAAAAAACAAGCAGGATCTGTGATATGCTGTGTGTTGATAGATTTGTGTAGTTACATCATCATCTTGTGTCTACAAGACTACCGTAGCCTTATTATAATCACAAACTGTGGTTGTTTGGGAGGCAAGCTTGTTACTGGAATAAAAACTCAACTGCAGAGATAGACACCTACATCCACACACCAAACATGCAGTCACTGTTTGTGGGTCCACATGTGCACAGATGCACACACACACACACACACCACAGAGGGAGTGAACCCTCCAGGTGCTTTTGATTAGAAAACACCCTCTAGCACATGACAACGGTTTTTATCAGCAACAAAGCTGGCACAATTTGGTATCCTTGTCATTTGCAGTCCTCTTTTATATTCCCCATTTTCAAATGTGTTCAAAGTTCACACCCTCTCCCCCGTGTTAACGCAACTTCCTCAATAAACAACAGGCGTTTTATCTGCATCTACTTTCACACCATATTAGTGAATAGAGGCAGGAGCGTCTCTTATGTCCCTGGGCTATCATGCTGTGATAAGGGAACTGCTAAGTACTGGATGTCTTTATGTGCAGTCTGCACATGTGGATTATTTACAGGCTTTGGGGTTTCCTGCTGCTAAAGCCAGCTCTGGGTGTCTTACAAATCCCAGCTCAGAGCATTGCCACACAGTCAAGTCGGCTCTCTGCTGAATCCCTCACTGCACCTCTTTGCCACTATGACAAAAAACGACATATTTCAGATATGTCTCTTTTTCCCCTATCATTTTATGAAATTTTACTGACCCACAGTAACAATCAAAAACAGTGCCAACTATAAAGGAAAGGGATCCAGGAGGATTTGCCTCAAGTGTGATGGACACACACCACTCACATCACATTTTCTAAATGACAGACAAATAGAAAGGGAATGTGATAAAAGGTCCAGAGAAAATAGAGCTGATGTGTGTAAATGTTCAGAAGGGAATCATTCAGGGTGTCTCCGTCGGGAGTCGGACAGTGAGAAACGGGCCAGCGTTGTTTGTTCAGGCCCATTGACAGAGAGACCTCTGTAGTTCTATAAACGTCCGGCTCCTCTTGCCACAGCTGGCGAGGACCTTGAACGTGAAATGGTTTCAAGCAGATTGCTCCTAATTGCTAGAAGATGTGCAAGCAGGTGTAACCGGATCCCTGCGGCCACTCAGAGAAAAGGAGAAGGAACGAGATGTGCATCTGTTTTCTGCACTTGTGCGAGTGTGCTTCAGTGTATTTACTCTAGCGGGCCACGTTTTTGCCAAGCTTTAATAGTCAGGTGAGTGTGGCTCAGAGACAGCCAGCAACAACACGACTAATAGGTTAGCTCTTAATGTAGTCCGGCTCAGAAGACACCGGGCCCTCTGGTCTCACTCTGAAGCCTCTGTGGGCTTCGACGCCAGCAGCCTAAATGTCAAGGTTATCTGCTCGACTTTCTGACTGATCGCACGTCTCGTCTCTCACCTGACATTTGTCGCTTCTGCTGTTTCCTTTTCAAAGAAAAGACCCTCTGCTCCTCAGTGGTAGCCTAACCAAGCCAAGGGGCCTGGCTCTTCTCTCACCAGCTCCTCCACATAAGTTGCTCATAAGCTAATGTGATGT